AGCAAAAAAAAATTGGTTGCAAAGTAGTAGGAATGCAAGTGGTTGCAAAATAGTAAGTGTTGATGAGAAGATGACAATTTTTTTGACAATTATAGGTCACAATGAACATTATATAATAATTAAAAGAAGATTTTAACACTCAACGGAGACTATCCATAGATAATTTTGTCAAGTACTGCGAGCAATGATGGAATTTGCTAGAACAGTTGTGGGATCAATGCCCAATGAAGAAACCTCCAACATATCAGAACGATAAAGAAATCTTAGAAAAATATTTCCGGTATGTTTTCGTGTATATAACTTGCAAAATTAAAACATAGTTAAAAAGTTCCTTATAGTTTTTTATTTTTTTTAATAAAGGGGGCAATAGGTGCATTAGATGGGACTCTCATAAATGCAGTTGTGTCTGTCGATCAACAAGCTCATTATAGGGGCAGAGGAAGAGGTGAATGTTATCAAAACGTTTTAGCAATTTGTGATTTTAATATTGTATTCACTTATGTTAGGGCTGGATGGGAGGGCATAGCGCATGATGCTAGTGTTTTTAAGAGAAGTTGCATTGAGCTGAACTGCTGGCTTTCCATTTCTTTCGCCTAGTATTTATAATTTATACTTAATATTATATATAATATATTTCTTATACATTTTACTTAACTATAACTCTATCTTACATGTTAAATGTAGAAAAATATTATCTTAGTGATGTTCATATGCCAACACTCGTGGATTTTTGACTCCATATCGTAATACAAAATATTGGCTAGCTGATTTTCACGTCGATGTGCGTTGACCAAAGAAGAAAGATCCAATCATGCCCACACACAACTCAAAAATGTTATCAAGCGTGCTTTTTGCGTATTGAAAGCAAGATTCCCAATTTTGAAACAAATGTTTACGAATACAAAGAAACATTGCAATTGCTTGTTTCGCGATCCACACCTTTATAACAAGATGCAATATGCAAGATCAATTATTCATGGAATACGGCAATAACCTGTAACACCCGAAAATTTTCCATATTCTCTACTCTGTCACGTCAAGATTTCCGTCTCATTGGTGAGGTATGTGTTCATTTGTGGTTATATGTATTATATTTTTTTTTTGGGATTTAGATCTTTCCTTTTGTTATTAGGTCCTTCTTTAGTGTACATATTTATATAATTATATGTCTAAATTCCTTGGGAAGGTAATTTTAGATGTAGTGGGGTAAGAAAGTCAAGAGGAGAGGGGGAGGGTAGTTGTTGCCATCTTATCCTACCCATAGACCCCTTTACCTATAAAAATAAAAATAAAAGGTTACTACTCTTATCTTTGGGGTTTTGCCTACTATCTCATAGAGGAGGAAGTAAAAGGGAGAAAGTAAAGGGAGGGGAAGAGGAGAGCATTTCTGAGAGTGGATGAACTTTTCCCTCTGAGAAGAGAAATTAGTCAGACGAAGCAAGCTCTGTAGCTGCTGGTTGAGAGGAAGAGAGGGGAGGGGAGGGAGCTGTGTTTTCACCCGGTTAAGGAAAAGCTCACGGGAAGAGGCAATGGTCGCCGGTGAGACTTTACTGCCGGTCGGGTCTGCGCAGTGCCTCTGGACTACGCACATCTGCACCGTACCCCGACCGCACCGCCTGTTTGTCCAGCCGAATCCGCACCTAGAACCAGCAGACGGCAGGCCACCGTGTCTTCTCACACCGCCGACTGTTAGACAGCGAACAGCAGCCCCTGCTGTGCTGTTTGCTTCGTTTTCTCGCCGAGCAGCCATTGGTCTAGGTGGTTCGTCTTGTGTATCGCCCAAAACAGCCGGCTGTAATACCGTCTCTTCATCTGCGTTGCCAGGACAGCACCCGTTGCTGTGATTACACAAACAACAGACAGCTTGATTGCTCTGTTTCGTTCAACAGCAGCAAGCAATAAGCAGCAAATCGGTGCTGCCTTGTTCCTTCATTCCCTTCGCCCAGCAACAGACACTTCTGTGCTGCTCTTCACATCGACTGGCTCTCCCTCGCTTTTGGGTTCTATTGTTGTTGTTGCCTCACGGATTAGGAGAAAATCATGCTGCTTCTGAGTCCCTTCCGTCTATCATTTAGTTCGAAACTTAGGATTTCCCCTAAATCCTACGATGTGAGTTCAACCTTTTCTTTTCATGAAAACTTTCACTAAATGGAACGATGCACATTTCTTACCTTATACACTAATTTTACGTAATTACTTGTTGTTGAAATGGAGATTTTGATGGTCCAAATGAGTAAACTTAGAGTGCTCGCCCATAATGAAAATATGAGGTTGGAGATAATGGTTTTAATCTTTTGGTAAAATAATTATTTCAAAGTATCGTTGGCCATAAGACTTAACACCCTCATGTTCTACATTAGAAGTTCTTTGTGAGCATATGGAAATACTTCATGTGAATAAAAAGGGGCTTATGTACAACTTTAGTGAGAAATAGAGGTTCAAATGCTTATGATGACGTAGTTAAGCATTTCACTAGAATAAAAGGATCTTTGGCTAGGATGTCGTTTTATTTGTGTACGTGTGAACGATGGTGTAAGTTGGTATTAGACTTTGCGATTATTATGAAATCTCCAAATCACCTTCTCATTCCCACTTGGAAATAGGCATTGTGATTATTATGTAATTTTCGAGGTAATGAGCTTAAGATCACGCTTGACTACATGACTGGTTTAGGTTGATGTCAATGATTTTATACATGTAAGTGATGCTCTATAACGTTGATCTATGACTTCGTGTTTCGTCATAAATAACGGAAATCGGGTCTCCCCCGTCATCTTCGGATGTTTTGGCCCCACCTCGTATGTTTTGGACTCACCATCCCCCCCCTCTAAACTGTTTTAAGTTACATCAATTTCATATAGTGTTATATTTGTTTTAAGGGTCCTTCTATTAAATGCATTATTTATACTGTTGAGCTCACTAGGTGTAAGCCTAACACCTCTTCTTGTTTTGGCTTGCCTATCAGGTCCCTTTAGCGGCGGGGTATCAAAGGGTTGAGGAGATGTTATTTGTAAGGGTCATTTTTGTAGATTAAAACACTTGGTGTTTTCAAGCGTTACAATCATGGTTGAATTCGTGTTTTTTTTTTGTTAGAGATGGTAGAAACACCCGTTCCTAATCTAGGTATAAAATTGTCTAGATTGTTAGGTTGTTATGTATCGTCTCTTTTGTTATTGATTGTAAACGTTTCACTTATCCCCCTTTGTTGGGTGTTGTTATTTTGAGACCTAGCTTCCGTCAAGTTTCTCATTGGGTTCTAGCTTCCCATTGTATTAAAAAAAAAATTTCTTTATGATATCTTTCAATTTAGGTTTTATTTTTTTTGAGGATGTCACATAACCCCATGTTCATCAATGAAGTACAAGAACAAATTGATGAAGGCGATGAAGAAGAGATAAATACATTGCCTTGGGTTCCCAAGACAATGATTACATGGCTAATTTGCGTAATGAGATTGCAAATCAATTGGTGTTAAATGCTTCGAATTAGATGTTGTGTTCAACATATTGGGTTTGAACTTGCATTTCATGTGATGTTTTGTTATGCCAATTCTTGAAGAAATAATTGTTATGCCAAAACTTGAAGAAACAATTGTTATGCTCGTTCGGATTGATATGATATCATGCATTGGCTTGGACCATTAATTAATTTCTATTTTTCATTTAGAAATTTCCATCAGAACTTTTGTCAGACGTTAATTTTCATTAAACACAAGACCGGACGTTACATGGTAATTTTATGTCATTCAGAATGGTTCTCAAACAATCATTTTCTATCTAACACTAAATCATACAAAGTCTATTAATCATTCTGACCACTTAATCATTTTATATCCAATCATCTAGTATTTACCAAACAATCTGTTTGAAATAAAATGGAAATTCTCAAATTTAATGGACCCGGCACAATATTGACTTTTTGTATACACATGGATGGGGACTTGTTGCAAAACAAAAATTGTCAAATTTAATGGGACCCGATGATGATATTTTGTGCCTCAAGATAGAAAATTTTCATAAAGACCTCAAAATTCAATGTGACACCAAAAAAAAATTGAATTTTACAAAAACGGTGGTCATCTTCTATAAGTTTTGAAAGAAAAAAAATTGACGGTCATTTATAAGTTTTACAAAATCCAATCATGACACAAAAAAAATTATTTTGTATAACTAACAAATTTGTCGTCGTAATATGGATGCTCGATTACTTATTTCATCATTGTTTATCAAGGATTACCACCGAACGGTTTTCCATTATCTTATGAATAAGTTTTACAATGAGTGTCAAATAAAATAAAATAAAGTGCTCGTACGATTCCAATTTTGATAATATTATAAATTATTTTGTATAACGAACAAACTTGTCGTCGTAATATGGATGCTCAATTACTTATTTCATCATTGTTTATCAAGGATTAATACCACCGAACGGTTTTCCAATAAATTATCTTATGAATAAGTTTTACAATGAGCGTCAAATTAAATAAAACAAAGTGCTGGCACGATTCCGATTTTGATAATATTATAAATATTTTGGATTTGGAAAAGGAAATATCTATTTGAGTTTAGAAAACGAAAGTTCTATTAAACTATTTTTGGAAAGGTTCAAATTTGATGAAAGTATCTTATTCAACTTCCTTTCACTAGTAAACAAAAATTCAACCATTAGATTCTTGAAATTAGTAATTAAAAAAGAATTGATATACCAACGTATGCTTTACTTAATAGACTTGGTCTAACGTGGGCTTAGAACGTTCATATTCTAATATACTGGAGATGGAAGGTATATAATATATATATATATATATATATAGTTTGTCGTCAAGATACCTAACCGTCATGGGAAGAGAATAGTCTAGGGTGGAATCTGTAATTCANAGAACTCGCTAGGAAGGGTCTTTGCATGCAATTACAAACGTTTCCACATCTCTCAAGTCAATTCCCAGTAACTTGACGAATGAGTCAAGGAATTTCATGCTATATATATGTATATATGTGTATATGTCAAAGAATAAGAATAACTCTTCATGTAAACCACCAATACAATTGATTCTGCTTGATACTACTTGCCAAAAATGGAGCTGAAAAAACGTATTGTTCCATTGTCATTCTTGTTTACGTTGCTTTACATTCACTGCACGGTTGATTATGCGAAAGGCTCGGTAGCAACAATGGTAAAAAGTATGACTAGAAGAAGATCTATCCAGGAGCAAGTTGGTGCTGGACCAGAGGATGTGTGTGCAGGTATGTTACAGTTTGGGCTATATTTCCAAGTGTTRCCCAATACTTCTAAGTTAAAAAAAAATGGGTTTTTTCGAGAAACTTTAGTTTTAGTTTGAAACGACACATCTCTCTAACAACGATAATAATCAGMCAAAAAGTTCCTAAAACGATTGATGCCTTCGTGTATCTCTCTAGAGCTATGTTTCGTGGATGCCGACTTATTTAGCTTGTCTTTCTTTGTTGCTACTTCGAATAAGCTTGTCTTTCTTTGTTGCTACTTCGAATAAGCTTGTCTTTCTTTGTTGCTACTTCGAATAAGACACTTGGATGTCAAAACCGATTCAACTTAATAGATTTGCAAATCTTTATTTACTTATGCTACTTGTTCCCCAAACTTCAATTAGAAAAGCTCCTACATGGACATGTTACTTTTGCGTTAGTGTTATTTGTCATTTTGTTCAGAATACTTGTTTAAACTTTACGTATGTTAGTTTTTCCTAATTCATACTCATTCAGATGTGGTTTTTTGTATGTAATTGCCTATAAAAGGCATTTTGGGGCCCGGATGGCAGAAGATGAGCACTAACCAAAGTCCATGCCCAGAATTAGTTGTGTGGGTACCAAAGAAACCAGGCTTCTCTGAGTTTGTACAAGTCAACAAAGAATCTAAACTCGAAGGGGGATTTTCCATAGCCATATTCTGCCATTCATTACAATTATTGCCTTACAACATTCAGCCTATCTTCAAACCTTTTGTAAACGACAAAGGGGAAAGCAAGGGTACCATGTTTCAACTTCTAGAGAATATTAAAAACAAGGTACATTTTTTAAGTGAATTTATATCAATTTATATGTATGGCTTAAGATCATATCTTCAAATATATTTTATACTTTACCAACGGATGACCGTCGTCTATTTAGAAGATTGTTGGAAAACCATATGAAACTTAATTAGGGTTGCAGATCACTGACAGGTTATGGCTGTCGGGATAATTCGTTGCTAAGCGTCACTATAACAAAATCGGGTTTATAGGACACTCTCAAATTATAAACGTCTTAATAAACCTCTTAATAGGACTTAGTTTATAGGACAAAAAAAATAAAGTGTTCTATCTAATGGTGTTGTATTAAGTTTATATAACGTTTTTTGATGTCGTAATAAGTTTTTTAGGACACTTTTAATATAAAGCGTCTCATTATCAACTTTATAGGACATTATTTGAAAAAATGTCCTTTAAAAACAAGTGTCCTATAAAAATTTGAGTTTATAGGACAATTTCTCAAAAGTGTCCTATAAAGTTGCTAATGCGACACTTTGTATTAAAGATGTCCTTAAAAGCTTGTTAAGACGCTCAAAAGTGTCATATAAACGTATTACAACACCTTTAGATAAGACGCTTTATATTTTGGTCATATAAATTAAGTCTTATAAAGCGGTCTATTAGGACACTTAGAGATTGGGGGTGTCCTATAAACCCAATTTTGTTGTAGTGCGTCTTGTCCAATAGTGAGGCCCTGTATGAATCAATAATAAACAAATAATAGAGGGAGGTTCAGATGAAAATAGTAACTAAATAAGTGAACACTAAAATAACTGTATAACGTGGAAAATCACATGTGATTTTACACTAGCGGTCAACGCAAGAGTGTCAGGTCGAGGCCAAAGTCACATGAATCATATATGATTTTACACAGGATTATAGTGTAAAATCACATATGATTCTACCATTTTCTTATTCTCTTATTTTGCTATCAAAGCTTTACAAGCTCCAATATTTCTTAATTTCTATCTTGCAGAATTGTGAGGCTGCGGCAGGTGATATTACTATACGTTCTGATCGAGCTAAATTCATTGATTTTACAACTCCTTATCTAAGCTCTGAAGTTTATATGCTTGTGCGTGGTTCACATGAATGGAATCAAACCCTGTTGACGTTCTTGAAACCTTTTACCTGGAGATTATGGATCACAATAATCGGTGCTTGTCTCTTTATTGGAGTTGCAATTGCAATTTTGGAATACCGTGTTGGCAACCCCAAATTTGCAATCCCATTCTATCATAAACTCGTAATGGTCGTATGGTTTCCTATATCGACATTCTACTTCCGTGAAGGTATTAGTTTATTTTTTAGATACATTATAAATATTATAAAGGCGTTGTTTGGCAAATATCAGCTAGCTTATTTTTCGAATACACGTTTAGATGAACATAAGCTAGCTTATTGAAACGTCGTCAGAGATGGAACACAATACTGGTTTCTGATTTTCACATATTAAATATAGTAAATTTTCTATTATTGAGTCTTTAGCTTATTGTTTAAATTTGATTCTCTAACTCCAACTATTCTTGTTTTTTTCCCTATAAACTCTTTCAATTCAATTGGTTTAAAAGAAAACTCCACTTTTGGTCCCTGCTATTTTCCCAAAAATCTAAAATTGCCCTTGTGCTTTAATAATATCAAATTAATCATTATATTTTGTATTTTGCTTTTGGAAATGGTCATTTGCCAACTCTATTTATTGAGACCGTTTTTCTGGGTAAAACATGATTTTGGAGCTGTCTAGACGATTATCTATACTATATTATAAAGCATTTAACAAAAAAAATTAAAAATTATTTTTTTTATGCATGAATTACTGTACATTGATGCATATTACTTAAAATTTCATATTACAAGTAAATTATGCACAAGTACAACTTATTAAAGCTCCATGTTTGAATTCGTGT